GAAGTCCCTCCTACTTCCCTCTATGTCCCAGTTGCCCCAGAAGAGAGACTGACAGGGTGTGGGGTACAAGAGGGTGGTTTCTGGGGCCCACCCCAGTGGAGGCAGCAGGAGCAGCTCTCCTCTCTAGGAAGTCACACCTTGCCCCCAACCCCTTTGCAGGGAACATTTCCCCCCAGCTGTCAAAAGTAGAAGCGATTCAGCCAGCCCCTGGCCCAGAGCACAGGGGTGCTGGGTGCTCCTCCTGCCTCATCCCTCACTGGCACACCTGGACCATCCATCCACTTCCCTCCATGCCTGCTGCTTCCATTCTAGACAGCCACTTGTGACCCTTCCCTGTCTACTACTCTGGCCCCATTCCTGCCAACCTGCCACTTTCACAGAGCAGCTGGAGTTGCTTCTGAGTTGTGAGTGCCTGTCCTTCCTACATGCAAGGCACTGGTCGCTGCTCCTTCCTTGCACTCAGCTGTGTAATCTCTAGTAGCCCCACATGAGCAGGGCCAGGGAGCCTTGTTTTGAAAGGAGGCCACTGAGATGCAGAGAAGTGTGGTTGCCTCCTGAGGCCCCGGAACCATGGGGCTCTGCTGCTGAGCGAGACCACAGTCCCTAGCTTGGCTGCCACGTTCTGCCCACACACCCCAACCCATCAGCCTGGGAATGTCCAAGTTCTTTTTTTTTTTTGAAACAGTCTTGCTCTATTGCCCAAACTAGAGTGGCATTATTATAGCTCACTGCAGCCTTAGATTCCTGGGCTTAAGTAGTCCTCCTGCCTCAGCGTCCTGAGCAGTTGGGACTATAGGCATGTGCCACCATGCCCAGCTAATTTTTCTATTTTTTTGTAGAGACAGTGTCTTGCTCTTGCTTAGGCTGGTCTTGAACTTCTGTCCTCACGCAGTTCTCCCACCTCTGCCTTCCAAAGTATTAGAAATACAGGTGTGAGCCACCATGTCTGGCCCCAAGTTCATTTTTTCTCTGGACTTTCATGAGTGCTTTTGTCTCTTCTGGAAGTGCCATTTTCCCCTTCTCTCCTGTTTTACTGTCTAAACCTACTTGTCCTCCACATTTCACTTCAAATGTCATTTCTTAGAAAGGTCCTCTCTGATCCTTTCAATCTAATTTATAACATGCTCTATGTAATTTTCTTTCCTGGCCTTCAGGATGTCTTTTAATTATATATTCATGTGTATGATTGTATGAGAGACAACAAACAGGATAGGGGTAGTTCAGACCTTGGGCCAGGCACTTCAGATAGAAGTCCAGCTGGGCCAGTTCCTATCTTTGTGGCCTTAAGCAGATGACTCAATTTCTGTGCCTTGGTTTCCCCATCTGCAGAAAGGGAAATAACAGCATCATCTTATAAGGTTGTGGGGATGATCAGAAGGGTTAACAGAGCTGGGCTGAGTGGCACGAACCTGTAGTCTCAGCTACTTGGAAAGCTCAGGCAGGGGGATAACTTGAGCCCAGGAGTTTGGAGCTGCAGTGAGCTGAGCTGTGATGACACCACTGCACTCCAGCATAAAAAAAAGAAAAAAGCCAACAGATAACGTAGTATGTAGTACTGTGCCTGCCCACAGTGAATACTGTGTGTCACCTGTTGTTATTTTATTTTATTTTTTTGAGACAGAGTCTCACTCTGTCACTTGGGCTAGAGTGCCATGGCGTCAGGCTCACAGCAACCTCAAACTCCTGGGCTCAAGGAATCCTCCTGCTTCAGCCTCCTGAGTAGTTGAGACTACAGGCATGCGCCACCATGCCTGGCTAATTTTTTCTATATATTTTTATTTATTTATTTTTTTGCATGTTAAACACAGCGATTTCTATATATTTTTAGTTGGCCAATTAATTTCTTTCTATTTTTAGTAGAGACAGGGTCTCGCTCTTGCTCAGGCTGGTTTCTAACTCCTGACCTTGAGTGATCCACCTGCTTCGGCCTCCCAGAGTGCTAGGATTACAGGTGTGAGCCACCATACCTGGCCCACCTGTTGTTATTTTAGTGAGAGATGAAGCATGTGCTTCAAGGCAGGGATAGAGCAGAAGCTCAGAGAATGTTCATTTTCTCCTCTGCCTGGTGGCGCCTCCCTGTCCTCTCCCTCTGTGTGCTCTGATTTTGTTTTTCTGGATCAGAGGTTGGAGGACTCTGGTCTGGTGAAGTATTTCCTCACCTGTAAATAGGCATAACGAAAGTGCTCCTAGGATTAGGTGGGCTGATGGGAAGGCCCTTGAGTAGGGCCTGGCATGTGGGGAATGCTCCCTAACTATGGGTTACATGTCTCCATGTCCCACACAGCAGGGCCCTTGTGTCACCCTAGCATGCCTGGCATTCATTGAATATCTGTTGAATGAGAGATTGAGCAGGGACACATTTGAGTCTGCCCTGGCCCTGTCCACATGGGGACATGATGAGGGCTCTGGGTGAATAGACAGGTAATTTATACCACAGGTCCAGTCCCTATCCATGCCGAAGAGAAGGATGAGCTGGGAGAATGATGTGGGGTTCTGGATGGAGGAGGTGGACAGGTCATTTTGTGAGTAAGGCTTGTGTTGGGAGCACTTTGTTGTGACTGGAGGGAAGGGTATTGGAGGAGTTGATGCAAGAGGAGCTTGGCTCAGGGACACACTCAAGAGAGATGAAGGCCTGGGCAGGAGGCGTTGGGGTAGAGAGATGGGTGTCAAAATCCCAGTTCCTGTTTCTGGGTGCCTTCTGTGTGGTAGGCCCTGAGTCAAGCATTTTACGAGTTGCCTTATTTAGTCCTCATGACTCCATTGTGCAGCAGGAACCTCTTGTTTGTCTGTTTTTCAGATGAAGAAACTGAGGCTCAGAGAGGTGAGGTCATGTGCTCAAGGCCCCAAAGCTAGAGAGTGGCAGAGGTGGAACTCACCTTAAGGTCTGTGGGACTCTGTCACCTGCTCTGCCATTGACCAGCCCTGTGTGGCCTTGGACAGATACTGCTCCTCTCATGTTGATCAAGGGCATGGCCAGACCGAGGGCACAGGAGTCAAGGATGTGGGCCCAGAGGGCTTATCTGGTCCTCAGGATGGAGGCAGCTGGGCCTGAATGCCGTGGAGGCCCTGGGGGCTCAGGCTGGGCAGGCTTCCCTGGGCCCTGAGTGGAGAGGATGGGGTTCCCCAAGAGCCAGAAAGAGGAAGGGTTTGAGGTGGGAGGAGGAAGTGGGTGGAGCTGAGAAGTCATCTGGGGGATCTGCCTTCTGCTTTCTGCTTTGTGGCTGGCTGACATGGTCTGTGAAAGGTGAAGGGAGCCCACAGCATGAGACTTCCCTTCCCAGAGCCTCGGTGTCCCCATCTGTCAAGTTGGCTGAAGGTGGTCCCTGCCCCACAGGGCTGATTGTGCTGAATCCCCAAGAGTCATGCATTTGTTACATCAGAGTGGTTGACAGCTGCCATTCTGGGAGCACCCAGTGGGCACCGTGCACAGTGCTAGCCCGTTCCTTTCTATCCATTGCTCTCTTTTTAATACTCTTTACAGCAGGGATTGTTCCCTGGTTTAGGCAGGAACCTGTGCTCAGAGAGGTGGGGACTTGTCCCAGGTCACACAGTGAGTGCCGGAAGGTTCCTGGGTTAGTATCAGAAGCCTGGTGTCTGGGGCGTGGGAGGTTAATTGACCTTTGTCAAGCACGGCCACTGCCTGGCGTTGTGACTTGGGTAAGTCACTTCACTTCTCTTGGCCTCCATTTCCTTACCTGTAAATTGGGAGTGATAATAGGGACTGCTTCACATGGTTGTTTGTGGATTTAATGAGTTCATACAATTCAAGACTGGAGTAGTGCCTGGCAGATAGTCAGCACTCTGTAGGTGTTGCCTGCTGTCATTTCCAACTTCTAGCTGATCCTCAGGACGGCCTTGTTAGGTGTGTGGAGAGTAGTATTGTTACTAGTCCCATTTCACAGATGGGAATTCAGAAATCCCAGAGTAGAGGTGGTATGCCTGAGTTCACGTTTGCAGGGATAGCCTCAGAAGTGCTGTGTCCTGTCCCCTGTGCAGAGCTACCACCTCATTTGGGCAAATTTGGGTGGAGTTGTAAGTGACAGAAACCCAGCTCAAACTGCATTAAGCAAAAGAGGGAATCGATTATAACCGAAAATCCTGGCAAGGTGTGATCCTGGGCTCACATGATGAACTGAGGAATCCTTTTCAATCATTGGCCCTGTGTAGGCTTCCTTTTCTTCTCTTTTGGCGCACAGTGGCCCCCAGCAGCTGCGGGCTTACAGCCTATATTGTAGCAGCCTCCATGGAGAGAGAACGCTTGACTCCCAGTAGAGCCAGCACAGGTCCAGCCTGGAGTCTGCTGGGCCTGATCAGGCCCCTGTGCCTCCCTGGTGCCTGCCTGGGAGGGATGGGGATGTGGTTGGCCAGATGTGAATCTCATTGGGGGATGGGGTGTGAGGCTGGGTGCCTAAAGGCAAGTTCATTAGTTCATGCATAGGTTCTTTCACAAATGCATATTGAGCAACTACTGTGTGCCACAGTTCTACAAATGAACAAAATGGACAAAGCTCCCTTCAGGGAGCTCCCATTAGTAGTGGGGAGGCAGATGGTAACAGGATAGTAACCCATAGAGCAGGTTAGAAGGTGCTAAGTGCCTTGGACAAAAACAGCTGAGGGTGTGGGGACCTGGGCATGCTGTGGGGGGTGTAAATAGGTTGGCTGGGGGTGGGCCTCCTTGGTAAGGTGGAATTTGAGCAAAGACCTGCACAGGAAGTGAGGGAGCAGGACCTGTGGAGGTCTGGGGAAAGAGTACCCAGGCTGGGGCCATGGTGGAGCCACCTGGTGGTTGGGGGAGCAGTGAGGAGGATGCAAGGTCAGAGAGGTAACCGAGCCCAGACCACAAGAGCTGTGGAGGCTGTCAGGACGTCACTGAGCTTGGGTGTGGCCTGCGGAAGGGGGCTGAGGGAGGAGCCTGCCCTAGGAGGCTGGAGAGAGGAAGGGTGGGGTTCTGTGTCAGCCCCTCTCTGATGAGTTTTTCCTTTCCCTCCTACTCCCCGCAGACATCCGGCTCCGGGTTCGAGCAGAGTACTGTGAGCATGGGCCAGCCTTGGAGCAGGGTGTGGCATCCCGGAGGCCCCAGGCACTGGCGCGGCAGCTGGACGTGTTTGGGCAGGCCACTGCAGTACTGCGCTCAAGGGACCTGGGCTCCGTGGTGTGCGACATCAAGTTCTCAGAGCTCTCCTATCTGGACGCCTTCTGGGGTGACTACCTGAGTGGTGCCCTGCTGCAGGCCCTACGGGGCGTGTTCCTGACTGAGGCCCTGCGTGAGGCTGTGGGCCGGGAGGCTGTCCGCCTGCTGGTCAGCGTGGACGAGGCCGACTATGAGGCTGGCCGGCGCCGCCTGTTGCTGATGGAGGAGGAGGGGGGGCGGCGCCTGACGGAGGCCTCCTGATCCCGGATCTGGCAGGACTGACCCCACCTCCGAGTCTCCGGGCCACCTTCACCCCTGGAGGACAACCATCTCTGCCCCTAGAGGACTGTCACTTCAGCAGCTGAGGACTGTGACCGGACCAGGATGGCACTCCCCTTGACAGCCCCCTTGCACAGGATGTGGGCTCTGAGGCCTAAACAAACCACTTCCAGCTGAGTTTCCTTCCCAAACTCCCCCCACCCTCGTGTGTTCCCTGAGCCTCTGGCAGCCAGGTGCCCCTGTGTCCCTGAAGGGAGGGAGGCGTAGCCACACACTCACCAATGGCCCCCTGCACATCGTGTCTCTGATCTTGGGCTGTCTGCACGTGCATGCGTGCGCACACACTCATACACACTGCCCCCTCTGAAATCTTCCCACAGCCCCTGCCCTGGCCTGTTCCACACACTTCTTTGGCCTAAGGGCTTCTCTCTCAGGATCTCTGATTTGACCACCCCCAACCTGGACTTCAGCCACACCAGTGGGCACTGGAGCTAGGGTGCTCATGGGGCCTGCTCACTTTTCCCACACATCTCTGGCTGGGGCTCTGCCCAGCTTCCACACACAGACCCAGCTCTCCTCACCTTCTCTCTGCTTCCCAGAGCTAGACACAGACTCGCACCCAGACCCTCACACGTGGGTGTTGTGGCAGCATCAGACCAAGGCCTGCTGTTGCCCATGGGGCCAGGACCACGAAACAACTGCCTTCTTGAAAAGGGAAAGCAGAGGTTTGGGGGCTGATGGGAAAGACCTTTCTCAAATGGCACCAATAAAACTGCCCTGGAAGGGGCATAGGTGGGCATCAGGCTTTCTAGGACTCTTTTTTTTTTTTTTTTAATTTTTCTCTTTTTTTAGAGATGAAGTCTTGCTGTGTAAAGATCTAAGATTTGAGGTTCTTCTCTATTTGGGGCTACCTGTGCTTGGAGGTGGGAGCTGCTGCTTACTTTAGCCTCTACTGGACTCCCAACTATGGGGCTAAATTCCAGGATCCGCGTCTCAAGCCCTGAGTATTGTCTCCTGCCGCTTTTGAGTGACGGACCCCGCCCCCTGACTGGACACGTCCTGGCCTCCGCCCCCTGCTTCAGTTCCAGGCCCAGGCTGGTCTCGAACTTCTGGGTTCATGTGGTCCTCCCACCTTGATAAGTGCCTCCCAAGTAGCTGGGACTATAGACTCATGCTATGACGCTTGGCTTTGGATTCTTGATGTGCTAAGAGGAGGAGTGTTCCTGGCCCAGTGTTAGGGGCTAGAGGGTGGGCGGGATGCTAGATATCTGCCATCTGCTACCACACGCTTATCGTACTCTCTGGACCTCAATTTCCTCATCTGTCAAAAAGTAGGAAGTACAGTACTGCCTTGGAGTTATAAATTCTTCCAGCCCTGTCCACATGCTTTGCTCCTGTATGTCTAGGGTGGGGGTAGAGGGTGGTTCCAGGATTTTTAACTAGTTAGGTGAGGTGGGTTGGCTACCCCCAAGGCTGATGGAGCCCAAAGGTTTGGAAATTGGAAAGATAGGCAGCCAGGGGTTCTCTGCCTAGAATTCCTCTCCCCGTGGCTCCCTATCCCTCACACCTTCCGGGCATTCACCTTCTCTAATATACTTCTACTGTTCTGTGGCTGCAGCTAAGGTTGTGGCCTCCTGCCCTTTCCCCACTCCTGGTGTAAGGGCTCAAGTTTCTTATGCAATGCCCAGGGTTTTCTTTCCTGAGAGGGAAGGGAACTTGGGTTGGGGAGTTAGGGGTAGGGTGGGCAGGGATTCCCAAGAGCCAGCCTTTCCTGTGGGGAGGGGTATGCCTGCCCACACCTTGGACCTGGCCCCTTGGCCTGTGCTGATGTACAGGGATGACAAGTCTAGGAGGTGAGTCCAGTCCAAGAGCCAAGGCTTTGTCCAGTCATCTGTGTGATCCTAGATTCTGCCTTTGCCCTCTGGGAGGGAGCTAAGTTCTACTGGGCACCTATTCGAGATCTGTTTACTGCTCAGCCACCATGTGCGGGAATTTGTTCCCATTTTGTAGAAAATGGGCTCAGGGGAAGTGATTTGCCCAAGGGATAGAGAAGCAGTGAGATGGAGACTAGCAGGTAGGTGGAGGATTAAGGTGGGAATTCTACTCCCTTGCTTGGACCATTCCCTAGAGCTGGAGGGCTCTCCTTGGCCTGAGAGAGAGAGGTTTTTCACGATCTAAGATTTGAGGTTCTTCTCTATTTGGGGCTACCCGTGCTTGGAGGTGGGAGCTGCTGCTTACTTTAGCCTCTACTGGACTCCCAACTGTGGGGCTAAATTCCAGGATCCGCCTCTCAAGCCCTGAGTATTGTCTCCTGCCGCTTTTGAGTGACGGACCCCGCCCCCTGACTGGACACGTCCTGGGCTCCGCCCCCTGCTTCAGTTCCAGGCCCCAGGCCCCGCCCCATACTCTGGGCCACTCCCGCCCCACTCTTCAGTCCGGGACCCGCCTCTTTCTCTGGCTCGCGCCTGCTGGAAGTAAGGAAGCCGACCTTGAGGCTGCGCAGGCGTAGTGGCACCCGCAAAGTGGCGGGAACCCCGAGGCAGTGTCTCGCGCCTCCAGAGCGTCCCTGAGCACATGCGCTGTGGAGCTTACCTGAGCTTGTCAGAGGCTGGTAGATCACCAGAAGTGAAGAACAGACCCTCAAGGCCCAGAAGTGGGTCAGACCCAGGCCATGAGGACAACTGAGGGAAGTCAAAGAGCTTCAGAAAGCAAAAAAGACAGGATTCTGTGGGGCAGGGCGTGGACAGGCTGCAGCCGTGGGAAATAGGGGCCTCCTTCCTCCTCAGAGGGAGGAGGGCCATGGTTCCACAGAGGAGAGGAATCTGGGGCCAGCCCTTGAAGGATGAGTAGGAGTTCAACAGAATGACAGAGACGGGGCATTCTAGACAGAGAAAACAGCCCTTGCAAATGCTTCAGCGCATTCCTGAATGGGACGTAGAGAGACAGATGGACAGAGTGAAAGGTAAGTGGAAATGTAGGGCCAGCCCCCCTCTCGTTAGGTTGGTAGTCATCTGCTTCCGGGTTCTTCTGTGTGGGGAGCAGGAACTAGCTGGGAGACTGACATGACCCTGACAGGTACAGTATAAAGTGGTAATATGAGGCAGGCCCAGGGTGCCTCGGGCCTGGCAGCACATGTCCCACGAGGCCTCCTGTGTGCCAGGCCCTGAGAGGACTCCAGCCTGGGTGCTGGGTCTGGAGAGCTGCTGTTCTGGTGGGTGAACCAGACTGGGACACAGTGGCTCACAACCCAGAGTGGTCAGAGCCACGACTGAGCAAGTGGCAGAGGCTGGAGGACCCCAGAGGACACCGAGAGGAGGGACACAGGAAGGCGTCAAGGATTGGGAAGCTCCCTGTTGATTCTGCCAAAAATTACCACCAATGCCAAAATACATATTGTGAAATATTCAGAAAAGCATGTAAGACATAAATGTACAGTTATTATTGTAAAACACCAGTGTCACCATGCCAAGAAATATATTACCAGGACCCCAGGAGCGCCCCCCCCTCCACCTTTCTGTTATGGGCTCCTTCCTGATCACAGCTCCCCTCCTACCCTAGCTGGAAACACTGTCCTGATTTTCACAGTAATTCCTTGCTTTTCTTTAACTTTCTAGCTTTTCATCACTCAGTGATATATAATAGTTAATTTGTCTCTTCTTGAATTTAACATAAACAGAATCATAAATATGTTTTGTTGTGTCTGGTTTCTTTTACTTAACATTGTGAGATTCTTCCATGTTTTGCTTTTCTGTAGATGACTTGTTTTTTGTTGTTATTTTTGTGGATGACTTTTTATTGCTGTATAGAAGGATATTCCATTGTATAAACATACCACAATTTGTTCATGCATTGAACTGTTGATGGGCATTGGGATTGTTTCCAGTTTGGGGCTGTTATGAATAATGCTGCTATGGACATTTTTGTGCATGGTTTTTAGTGAAAAAATGCTTCTATTTCTATAGGGATACACCTAGAAGTGCTGGACATGGGTATGAGTATGCTCAGGTTTGGTGGATACTGTCAATATTGTTTCCTATAAGTGCTATAGCAAATTAGCACAAATATGGTGGCTTAACACAACAGAAATTTATTCTCTCACAGTTCTGGAGGCCATAAATCTAAAATCAGTTTCACTGGGCCGAAAGCAAGATGTCAGCATGGTTGTACTCCCTTCAGAAGCTCTAGGGAAGAATCTATTCCTTGCCTTTTCCAGCTTCTGGTGGCTGTCAGCATCCCTTGGCTTGTGGCAGCATCACTCCATTCTTTGTCTCTGTGGTCACATTACTTTCTTCTTTCTGTGTCATATCTTCCTCTGCCTCCCTCTTGGAGGGGCACATGTCATGGTATTTAGGGACCACCCAAATGGGCCCTAAATGCAGGATAATCTCCTTATCTCAAGATCCTTACTGTAGTCACATCTGCAAAGTCCTTTTTGCCATATAAGGTTACATGCACAGGTTCCAGGGATTAAGTCTGGACATCTTTTGGGTGACATTTTTCTACTCACTACACTGCCAAACTATTTTTCTAAAGTGGCTGTACTATTAATAGTGTGCTCTCCCTCCAGCACTGAATGAGAGTTCTCTTTGCTCCACGTCTTCACCAACACTTAGTACTGTCAGACACTTTAATTTTGCCAGTCTGATGGATATGTGGCAGTATATCATTGTGGGTTATTTTTCTTCTCCCTGATGATTAATTTCTGTTCATTCTTGAATGAAGAGTAGGGGGGATCTTTGAGTGGATAGAGTGGGCAAGTGTATTCCAGGTAGATAGAATAGCATGCATGAAGGTCTCAGGAAACATTTGTTTAAATTGAATAAGAGGGTTGATTTTTCTGGTTTGTTTTTTGCTTTTTGAGATGAGATCTTGCTCTGTTGCCCAGGCTAGAGTGCAGTGGTGTCATCATAGCTCACTGCAACCTCAAACACCTTGGCTCAAGTGATCCTCCTCCCTCAGCTTCCTGAGTAGCTGGGACTACAGGTGAAAGCCACCATGCCTGGCTATGTGTTCTACTTTCTGTAGAGATAGGATCTCACTCTTGTTCAGGCTAGTCTCAAATTCCTGGCCTCAAGCACTCCTCCTGCCTTGGCCTTCCCGAGTGCTGGGATTATAGGCATGTGCCCAGCCTAAATTAAATAAGAAGTTTTTCGAACTCCTCATTTTTTTTTTGAGGCAGAGTCTCACTCTGTTGCCTGGGCTAGAGTGCCGTGCGTGGTGTTAGCCTAGCTCACAGCAACCTCAAACTCCTGGGCTCAAGGGGTCCTCATGCCTCAGCCTTCCAAGTAGCTGGGATTACAGGCATGCGCCACCATGCCCAGCTAATTTTTTCTATATATTTTAGTTGGCCAATTAATTTCTTTCTATTTATAATAGAGATGGGGTCTCACTCTTGCTCAGACTGGTTTTGAACTCCTCACCTCAAGCGATCCTCACGCCTTGGCCTCCAGAGTGCTAGGATTACAGGCGTGTGCCACCGCGCCCAGCCAAATAAGAGGTTTTTTAAAGAAGCATTAGGTTAATTAGAGACAATGTAGAGAGATAAATGGAACAAGATCAAAGGTAAATAAGATGCAGAGGTAGCCTTTTCTCTTTCTTTCAAGCACCAAGTCATTCAACAAACATTTACCAATTTATACTTCTGTTGTAGGTGCTACAGGATGGGTTAGATCCAATCCTGCTCTTGGTAAGCTCTGGTTTAGTAGAGGACATGATCATGGGGAACATATCAAAGAGAAGTACACGGTCTGTGGGAGGTCAGACGAGGCAGACACTGACTCTAACCTGGCTTCACAGCACCCAGGCTTCCTTGAGGTTTACGTGCTCAGGTTCTGCCACCCTCTACCCCACTTGCTCATTGACATCTATTGACTCCCTGGTCACTTCCCCTCATTTCTGAAGACATTAACACGCGTCACAGACTTCCTCACCACCCCAACCCATGCTGTCCTGCTGGGATACTTAACTGCTGATCCATTCTTCCAATTATCTAGCTTCACAGTCTCTTTAACACCTCACCTCTGGTGACCTTCATCCCACTCCAGCCATCCGCTCCCATGACCACACCTTGGATTTTAGTCATTACCCAGAAGTGTAGCATACATCGCGCACATTTACTGAGCACTTACACCGCACAGCAGGCACCATGCCAAATGCTTTACATGTGTTTCCTCCTCACATAAACCTGCAAGGTTGGTATTAGTATCCACATTTTACAGTTGAGGATACACACTTAGGAAGGTGAGTCACATGCCCGGTGCACACAAACCTCACATTTAGTAAAATGGTAGAGCCAGGATTCTAACACAGGACTTTCTTTTTCTTTTCTTTTTTTTTTTTTTTTGAGACTGAGTCTCGGTTTTGTTGCCCAGGCTAGAGTG